GTATATGTTCATACCTCAAAAATCCACGATCCGGGAGATTTTATGGATCGCGAAGAAAATGCACGATCAAGGGGTAAAAGGGGATCGGGCACAGTCGGCATTGGGAGGGGTAGGGCGTTTGGCACTTCTTCCCATCGACGTGTTCATTGCTTAACAAGAGCTGACAAGTGATCTCTCGAAACTTTGACTAGTATCACTCTTTGGCCTCATAAGATTTCACAGGCCCCCACTTGGTTCGCTAAGTCGATGGGGAGTAGCGGAAATGCAATATGGAACCCCTCCCCCCCCCCCGAGCACAATTACGTCCGTCTGAGAATGGACTGATTCCGCCTACGACCGCATTCTCTCGTCTCGCGCACTCTTCAAAAATGCAAATCCCCATATGCATGATTCTACCATTTTTGGTCGCGTAACTCCATTTTACTGGCGATATAAACGGGAGTTGAGCGACGTTTGGCAAAAAAGAAAAAAAGGCTATTTGCAGCAACTGCGCACGTCAGGTATCTACCGTATCAAAAGGACTATCATTCAGGCAATAAGTCCTTAAAAACTCACCCGTTCGCTTTCAAAAGTCCTCTGAATATAGCTTTTGTATTGTAGTTCACGTATTACAGTAATTAACATACCTAAATAGCTAAGTTTTAGCCCTATGAAACTAATGGTTATAATAATTGCACAAAATACAGGATGATCTAGTTTACTCACCTACCATCTTCCTAATTTGATGTAAAATAAAACTCTGCCCTTTTACAGTGAGTTGAATAAATTCGACATCCTCATTTCGAATATCGTCATGAAAAAGGAAAGGTTCGCCGCATTCAAAAGATAATATATAACGATGGCAACTGCGATCATCAAATTCCCTAAAAAGGGCACCTTGTGAACTGATTGAACAATCAAGTATCACGCAGTATCATAGAATATCACAAAAGAAATCAGACCCACCGTCTCGAGGTATAGTTAAAAAAATTGTGCGTGCCTTTGTAGATACTGAGAACAGAATTAATTTCGTCAATGGTTTCTTTGCTGATGCGGAAAGCGGCATTTGTTAACTAAACGGGAAAAATTCAGATGGACAGCGAGGCTGCGTTCATACTCTTTGTTGGCGTTTTGAGGGTTGCATGCACTGAGCGAAAAGGAAAGTATGTATAGGTACAGATTTAGCGTTTCGAGGGTTTAAGGAGAATCGCTAGCGTTTGATAAGTTG